GCAATTGGTTCGGGGATTGGTAGAGTTTTGAGTAAAAATATGCCCATTTGCTTCTTTAGGATTTCTAAAAAAGACCAAGTTTGACTTCGGTCAATATTTTTGGGAAAACGGGCCCGGATCCGTACGATTTCTGAGGATCCGTGGGAAAATATGGGACCTGGGCGTGTGTCCGGAATCGAATTCTGAGGTCCCTAGCCCGAGTAATGAATTTTTATCTATAATTGTTTAATGGAAGCTTTAAAGAATTCAAGAAACTAAGAAATCATTGATTCCCTATGTACCGGGCTCGGGTTTTGGTTCTGAAGTTTGGTATAGGTCCGTAATGTCATTTACGACTTGCCCGTAAAATTTGGTGTCAATCCGAGTAGTTTAAGGGCGTTTTGACCCGTTAGAGGAGAATTAAGAACTTAAGGTTTCAATAGTTTGATTCATTTAGTTTTAGGGGGCGATTATAAGATTTAGCGTTGTTTCGGGAGTTCCGAGGGTTCGAGTAGGTCCACCTCGTGATTTCAGACGTGTCGGTATGTTCGGGCGGGGCTCGGGAGCCCCGAGCGTCAAATGACCAAGGCTCGAGTGAAGTTAGAAAGATGAGAAAAGGCTGAAGGCTGCTGCTTCTGTCATAACCGCATCTGCGGTTCAAGGACCGCAGATGCGGTCAAATGATCGCAGAAGCGGCCCAAGGAAGGCCCAAGGGAAGCCGTAGATGCGGCCTTATTTCCGCAGAAGCGGTTCCGCATAAGCGCTTCTTAGACCGCAGATGCGGTCCAGCCTCCCTTAGCCCAGAGCCGCAGATGCGGCCTAATTTCCGCAGGTGCGGGACCGCAGATGCGGTCCCCAAACCGCAGAAGCGGAAATCGCTGGGCAGTAAACTCTTTTAATTCGAACTTAAGTGCATTTATTTCACATTCTTCTCCACACTTGGGCGAAATTGGGGTTTCCAAAGAGAGGGTTTCCACATATCATCACAAGGTAAGTAATTTCCACTCTCCGTTAGCTTAAATACATGAACATTAGATAGATTAAACACTAGAAATTAAGTAAAAATCAAGGGTTAGAGCTAGACCTAGAATTTTGATAAAACTAAGATTTAATCATGTAATTTACTATGTAATGAACTAGAAATCATATATTATCGATCCTTAGGGCATAGAGAACAATTTCCTTCGAAAAATCTCGGAATCCAGGCGCGTGGGCCCGGGGTCGGAATTTAGAAAACTTGTGGGAATGGTTGGGAAATTACTTAAATGGTTAGAATTCGGCCTTTTGAGCCTTTATTGACTAGTTCCTACCTATTTTAACTAGTTTGCGATCGTTCGGCTTCGAATTAAGAGCTTGGGCTTGTTCTTGATATTCGGGAGCGCGCATTGGAGCGAAGTGAGTCTCCTTTCTAACTTTGTGAGGGGGAACTGTCCCCATAGGATTAATAATTGAATAATTGTGCTAAATGCGGGGGCTACGAACGCGCTAGGTGACGAGAGTCCGTGCGTAGCTACTACTATGTCAATGGTCCGGGTAGCTTAGGACCCACATCATGCTTATTTCATATGACTCTATTTACTATGAGCACCTAGGATATGCTAGGGATTTTAAAAAGGGAATAAGAACGTACTTGTATAAATGTTGAAGTCTTGCTTGGCAATTATGACTATTGATGTGTCTTGTGTGTATACTTGATATTCCTACTTATTTGTGGATCGGGCCGATCGCCTCGGTATGAATAGATGCATCTATAGGCGCGCCGTCGACCCTCGGCAAGTGCACAGTTTATTTCTGCAGGATCGGGCCGTCGCCTCGGCATATTTGCGCATGCTTTTATAGCTTTGCCTGAGTTTGTTAACTATTAGAATTACACTTTCATGACTCGAAAGGAACTAATAATTGTGAATAAAGTAAATGATTAATTGGAATCTCAGCGAGAATATGATTTATATGCCTAGTTGTAAACTGTTGCCTGTTATAGATTTTTATTGTTAACTCAAACTTATGATATTATTTGGCCCTAGTGAGTGTCAAGTCGACCTCTCGTCTCTACTCCTTCGAGGTTAGGCGGGATACTCACTGGGTACATATTGTTTATGTACTCATGCTACGCTTCTGTACTTAAATGTATAGGGTCTGAGGCAGGTGGATCCGGTTATTACTCTGCTGCGCAGTTGTTAGCAGGCTTGGGACTTCTACGGTGAGCTGCTTTTCCTTCCATGTCGATCCGCAGCCGAAGAAGTCACTCTTTGTACTGTTATTTCTATCTATTTTGATCCAGACAGTAGGGTAGTGTAGTATTCTTTTGGTTGTATATTCTACTAGCTGCCCGTAGCTTGTGACACCAAGTTCTGGCACACCCACGTTAGTAGACATTTATTTTTGGGTTGTATAACTATTTTGATACCTTATTTACCGCTCTTGGCCTTAAGAAAAGCCGCACCGCAGTGCAGTTAGCTTCTTCTCTCTTTCTCTGCTTCAAATCTTTTCTTTTGTTTTCAGTCCCCAAATATCAGAATGTATAGGGGTAACTCCTCGTTGGGAAATATTTATGAGCTTAAGTCCATTAATCCGAAACCTACTCGATTTGAGTATCTACTCGTATTTTACTTTTCGCACCCGACGCGATGCTCATACAAATTATGCTTACGGTCGCCGAAAAGGTAGCGTTCCAATTTCCACAGTCAAACGTTTTCATTAACCTTTTAAATATTTTAAATAATTACTCCCTAGCTCCGTTATGTTCTAGTTTATGTGCAATTAGCTTCTTCTTCTCTCTCCATTGGAAATTTCTTGTAACAAATGCTGCAATCTCAAAATATATTGATAAGAACTAATGACAACACTCATTGCAAGCTAATAATAAAAATGCTGAAATTAAGAATATGGGAGAAATATACAGATAAAAGAAGAGAGATGAGAAGCATAGACTCAGAAAGGAGAAGAGAGGAACAGACTTTTCTTCAACAATTCGCATGCCTTCTTCCTCGCACAATCTGATATTTATAACCACTATATTTCCTCTTGCCCAGTAGCTCTTCAACACGTGTACCTCAATCCGGGTCCCAATGGTAAACCAAAAACCTTATTTTGGGCTGTTTAATCATTTGACCCCAGTGTAAACCATTCCCAGGCCCAAGCGCCTCATTTTGTTCGGCCCCATTCACAACATTTCTCTTGGTTACCGTCGCCGAAAACCAAGAAAGCAAAGTTAACAATATACTTATATAGCTTAAAGACAACGTTTTCGGTATAGTAGCGTACTTTTTTCTTTTCAGACCCGAGGTCTAGGGCAAAAAAATCAGAAATAGCTAGAGTTACAATTCGTAACTAAAAAAATAGCCACAGTTTCAAAAGTAATTGAAATTTAGCAACTTTTTCATGTAAAGATATTAGTTTGCTTGACATTGGCCCTTCCCTTCATCTTCCCTGAGCCGTGGGCCAACCGGAAAAAGCTTCTCTGCCTTTTTAAAGGTAGGGATAAGGTCTGCGTACACACTACCTTCCCCAGATACAACTTGTGGGAATAGACTAAGTTTGTTGTTGTTGTTGTTGTCATGTTAAGATATAATATGAAAGGAAAAATTCCAGCATAATATGTTGTAGTTCAATTTTTATATATATGAGATTCTAGTATAATATGCTGGAATTTCATAATGTATTGGGGTTCCAACATAATATGCAAGAAGTTTAATTGGAGGAGCTCCATAATCCAATATATTATGCTGGAATTTTCTGTGTTTCAGCAGAATAATGGCTATTTTTCAATGACTATACAAACGCTGGCTATAATTTGATTACCAATCCGAAAACTGACTAGGCAGTGCTATTTTCACGAGGTTGAGGTGATCCCAATTCTGTGGTCTAAGTGCACTAATAGCCGCTTTTGTTGCTGTTTAAAATATAATCAACATTTATAATATATTTCAAATATAGCCACAAAATCAAAATAGAGCAACTAAAACCCACTCTTCTTCCTCCTCCTCTCTTCCCGACATACTTCTTCACCAAAGAGCAAAGAAAACACTAAAAAAAGATTGCTGGACAATACTTGTATAAAGTTCTCAATAGTACCACAAATTTGAAAAGAATGAAAACTGCAATGAAATTATGTTTTTGAACTCAGAGAAACATTAAGGCTACAAAGGCAAATTTTACATTCAGAAAACAGAAAATTCACTGCTCGAAATTGAAAAAATGAGCAAAAGCCTACAACAATTGTACTTTAGGAAAAAGTTCGAATATTATAATTCAAACGTCACGAAAAACTCCAAGAAAACATCCTTGTTTTTTTCTTTTAATTATAGTTATCCAAATAAAGAAGTTGTCCCTTTGAAAGTCTACCCACAAAAAAGGAAAATCAACTCAAGGCGACTTGCGCTGATTTTATCATAATTACAACTCCATATGTATCTTTACTTATGATGCTCTCTAACACCTTTCTTTGAGTTGTACGTAAAATAATTTTATTACTTTCAAATCCTATAATCATGTTACCTTTTTGTTTTCAAAATGGGGAAACGCTTTTATTGACTTTGTATTTACGTGTGATTTACTGCATCAAATAGAAAGAAAGGCAGCAAAGAGATGTTAATATTTCGCTTTTATTACTAACAACACGCCTAGTTTAGATCAAATATTTCTTTTTTAACGTTAAGTTTTGATAATGAAATTTTCTCCTATTAAGTGGAAGTTATTCCTATTCCTTTTTCTTCGGAAATTTAGGAAATTATACTAATAAACTTTATTAAACATGCAAATATGTCAGTCATTTCTAGACCTTTCCGTTCAATTATTTCTAAAAAAAAACTAAAATTAAACTTCGTGGCACAAACTATGACAGCTATATTAAGCTAATGCAATTATTGCCTACGTAACTACCAACATTTTTTTGTTGTCAGAATTATAGTACTAAAATAAAGCTATTTCAAAAACGTTAAAAAACTTTTTCTAATGCACGACCCTTCCAAATTCTCCATATCCTAGGCACATCACACAAAAAAAATGTTATTAATCCAATAAATGATTGATAATTGGCAAGAAATATGAGAAAATTAAATTAATAAAAATAAAGGGGACACCCAAAAAGTCCACAAATGCAAAGACATTGGAACCTACATGCCAAAGTGAGGGACATAGACGTGAGGAGATGTAATAATAAGTGTTAACATTTCATTAACCGTTTCTTTTCCCTCTTTACAATCCAGCCACTTTCCAAAAAGACAAATCACAAAAGTCTTTCTTACCTTATTTTTCTCTCTTCCACTTCTCTGTCTCTGTCTCTCCTTCCTCTGCCATTCCCCTGGGGAGCAAACAAGAACAGAACATTAGGGAAAAGAAAGAATGAAGAAAAAAGACAACCCAAGTTTCTCTAATCATGCAGTAATTCATTTGATATTCCATTGATTTTCTTCTTGGCAATGTGCTATGATGGACCGCAGGACGCTAACGATGAACTGGGATGGTCTTGGAGAAGATGATGATGATGACAACTTCTTTGAGTCCCGTGACCGCCTTTCAACAGCCATTCCCTTTGACTTGGCATCCTCAGGATCAGACGACGATGATGAATTTGAGGACAGCCGCCTCTCCTTTGTCTCGACCCTTTCCTCAGCCTCCATCAAGAAATTCCAGGGGATTGAGATTGAGGCAGTTTCTGATTCTTTCACCAGCATGGAGGACTACGGCATGTGGATGGCTGAACCTGGTGATATCAAGGAACGTCGAAGGCGTCTCCTGCAAGGCATGGGGTTATCAAGCAATAAGGACCTCCTCAAGCTCAAAAGCGCCAAGATTGTACGAGCCATTTCAAGAAAAGTTGAGACCAGCCAAGATTCCAAACCACCAAAAGCAGAATATTCTCCTGCAAAAGAATTAAATCAAGAACAACAGCCATCAGCTTCACAGCCAATTGTGCTGGTCAGGTCGAGATCAGACGGAGACATACAATTTTTTTCTGTAAATACCAAGAAAAGAAAAGAGGAGCTAATTGGTGACATCTCTAAACAGCGGCTCACTAGGACATTTTCAGGTGTTTTGGCACCGAGCTTAGGAATATGCCAATTAGCTGGTTCGGTTAGAATGTCACACAGAAATAACACAAGTGGATCGTCACTGCAAAATGGCAGTGATATGTCCTCCACATTGTCGAATGGAAATCCTGACGTGGGCTTTGCTTCGTTCTTCTTGATAAAGAATTTGGACACAGGAAAGGAGTTCATTGTCAAAGAGTCCAATGAACAGGGAATGTGGAATAAGCTCAGTGATCTTCAGACAGGAAAGCAGCTTACCATGGATGAATTTGAGAAAGATGTGGGATATTCTCCTGTTGTAAAGGAACTGATGCGCCGGGTAAATGGTTCAAGAAATCATGATGATGAGAGGAAATTAAACGCAAATTCATATTTGAGTAAGAGGTTCAGAAATAGCAAGAGAAGGGGAGTTGCTCTTTTGAAGAACATAAAAGGAGTAGCACATAGCATGAGTGGCAAAATTATTGATAAAGAACGTGAGCAAACTGCACCTGAGGAACAGCAGAAACCAAATAAGGACTCCTCCAAATGGATTAAAGTCCGCCAGCATGGAAAGTCCTACAAGGAACTCACAGCTATGCACTTGTGTCAGGAAATACGTGCTCACGAGGGCTCAATATGGACCATAAGGTTCAGCTCGGACGCACACTATCTAGCAACTGCAGGAGAAGATACGTTAATTCATATATGGGAAGTGCAAGAATGTGAAGTTATGAATGACTTACAATCTGTTGTTGGTGCTGCAAGTACCTCACCTACTCATCCAATGGCTGGCTCTCTCAGTACCTCCCCTGTTCATCCAATTGCAAGGACCAATTCAGACCGGCCTCCTCTGCCGGAGATGGGACATATGGCATCAGAAAGAAGGAAGAGGGGGAAGGTATCCCATAAGAAAAAGGGAAACTCAATTCCGGAGTACGTCAATGTACCCGAAACTGTTTTTGCTCTTTCAGAGAAACCAGTATGCACTCTTAAAGGTCACCAGGATGATGTCTTGGACCTGTCTTGGTCAAGATCTCAGGTCAGTTTCCTGCACTTTCATTTCAGTCAACTTAATATGACACAAATTTGTAGCAGGGAGAAAAAGAAACCACAGAAATATCAAACTTCATACTCCATTTGATAACCCCCCCCCCCACCCCCCCCCCTTAACGTTATAGTTACTGCAAACAAATCAAGTACTCCCTCCATCCCAATTTACGTGACACTCTTTCCTTCTTGGTTAGTCCCATTTAGTAACAATTTAACCTTAAAATGCTCACTTTACCCTTGATGAGATGATTTATAGCCACACAAACTTTTATGCCTCATTTTAGACCACAAGTTTCAAAAGACTACTTGTCTTTCTTAAACTCCGTTCCCAGTCAAACACCATTAGATAAATTGGGACAGTGGGAGTAATATCTACTACTCCATGCAGAAAAATTTTATTTTGTGCCTCACACAACTGACAATAGTTGTGTGAGGCCTCTTTTTTATCTCACAACTGTGTGGTCCCAGAATTTTGTGGACCCATATGTGTAAGATATGGGTCCACAAATATAGAGGTCTCACACAACTAGTGTAAGTTGTGTGAGGCACAAAGTAAAATCACCCCTCCATGCATCCCAATTTTTGTGACACTCTTTCCTTTTTAGTCAGTCTCAAAAAGAATAACATCTTTCTATATTTAGTTATAATTTAACTTTATAACTCCTACTCTGCCCTTAATGGGATGATTTATAGCCATATAAATATCTATGACTTATTTTAGACTACAAATTTCGAAAGTCTTTCTTTCTTCTTAAACTCTGTGCCCAGTCAAACACCATCATATAAATTGGGATGGAGGGAGTATCACTTTTAAAACATGCATACTAACATGCAATATCAAACTTGGATGCAGCTACTTCTTTCATCTTCGATAGACAAGACTGTTCGGCTATGGGATGTTGAAACTCAGAGTTGCTTAAAAATGTTCGCGCATAACGACTATGGTGAGATGCCAAATTACATTGTAGCTAGTTAATAGAAGACTTTAAATGACGATTTCTTCCCATCACTTGCATCAATTGAGTTTATGGTTTGGCAGTTACTTGCATACAGGTCAATCCAATGGATGATGACTACTTCATCAGCGGTTCTCTGGATGCAAAGGTTCGACTTTGGAATATATCTGATCGGAAAGTTGTAGATTGGACTGATCTTCATGAAATGGTCACTGCTACTTGCTTCACCCCAGATGGCCAGGTAGTACTAGTAATTGTATTGGAGCATTCACATCTAACTTCTCGCTAAACTAAAACCGACTCCAAGAATGTAGCATAGTTCTTCAATATGACATGAATTTTCGTTGTTGCATGTTTCTCCTTCTTGTGTAGTTGTTTGTGTCAGTAAAGAACATCATCAAGCCAAATCAGCTAACCACAACAGACACCCCC